CTCAGTAATACTACCTTTTCAGGAATTTTCAGACCCTCTCTCTAAATCTGACTGATATAACGTTTTGCGTTAATGTGGTCGCGTCAATGCTGAGGAGACCCGCCAGCCTATACAAAAGAGTTTGTGGGTCCAAAAATAGAAAACGGCTAAAAACACCTCACACGATACAGATAGACTGATCTAACACCAAGCAGTTGGTAGGGTATGTGGAATGTAAGTTAGAAGAAGATTAGGAAATCTATTAAAATCAACAAAATTTCTAACACCCTGAATAGAAGGAATGAGCTTAGGAAATTAAGCGGAAACTACATGTTGCTGTTGAGATAAGAGAGAGAGAACAAGAAATATAATAGAGACAGATGAGGCTTGATTAGCCTTAAGCCTGATTTTCCCTTTGACATCCCACGAGTCTTATGAGCATTGCATTCACACAATACAAATATAATTAAACACAATCACATGTGCCAACATTGAAGGATCAAAAGTATAAGTGTTTAGACATTTATTTAACTTTTCAACAAGCATATAAGTAGAGCAGATGTTATCCAACCAAATTCAAAGATATGTTAAGTGTAAAAAAATAAGGCTATAGGGTGTAAGTAGAATTGTAGCCGGCCAGCTTTCTTGTCTTTGTGTGTGTATGGTGTCTTGCTCTGACAATGTCAAACACATGATGTACGAAACTCGGATAGGATTCATCGGAGTCGCGAAAAAGTGAGCCTAGGACTTATTCGCGCAAATCTAGAGTCACAGATCTAAAGCAACTTTCCTTCGGCTTCCTATGTAAGCAACTTCCGAATGCCTTGTACTCGCCTTTTCAAACGAAAGGAAAGATACTTTAACATCAAGAAGTTTATTCAACTTCAGATGTATTTATCGAATAATTAGATGTATAAAAAATATTATTTTAGCAGTCATAAAGTGGAAGACTGATTTTATATGCCTATCAAGAAAAAAAACAATCTACCGACATAAGATTATGAACAATGATAAGAGTTTATGGTAAAGATAACAGCAAATAACCATTTTAAAGAATCTAAATGGTAAGCAAATCGAATGGCCTAACTCACCTCACTGAGATTATTCAAAAGTTCGTTGAGTCGCCTACTTGATTCATTCCAATCACTATTGTCTCCGATCGCGAATGGATTTTGTTCTGAAAGCTGGATGAAAGAAAAATGAATACAAATGAAGGGTGGTTATGAGAATACAGATATGTTGAACACTATAAAAATAATAATTAAAAATAAAGAGGAACTGGGTTTCGAAAAATCCCTTAGTAAATTGATGCTGGAATACTTTTCATTTCGTTTGAGGAGGGGGAAATGGATTTGTGGAGTGGCCTCATTAGATAACGACGGAAGGTTGCCTTGGACATTTGTCTGCTGAATCGTGCGAGGAAGACTTCGGCTTACCGTCCTACGACCCAGATGACTGCATGATGAACTTTCGACTGTCATCTGACGAACATGGTCAAAGCCAGAAAGCATTACTCACAAAAATCTGCAAAAAAGACTAAACCAAGAGAGATGGTCGGCTGAGATCCTACTTACTTCGTATATCTAACTTTGCGATCTTCGTGAGGCAATACATGATTTGGTTGGTTGTTTTATGCATCTGCTACACGCATGCGAGTCATAGTGATAGAGGAAGGGGAGCAAATGCAGTCAACTTTTGTCTCTGTAAATAAACTAGCGTATGAACATGTAATTCTGGAGCTTGTTTAGCTTCGTGGATCAGCGTGTTGTGTGCATGCAACTCGCACAAGTTGGTTGGTAATTTCGGATCCCAAACCAGATTCCAACTTAGTCAAGTCTTCTCCTCTCCCTTTCCTGCATCATTTTCACTCAAATACATGCATATAGGACAAGCATATAACAGCCAACCAAATCATTCAATGCCTCATTAAGATCGCCAACTTTCTTGGTTAAATGTTTTGGTGATTGTTTGTGAATAATCTTCCCGGCTCTAATAATGCCCGTAACGTGAAGGACGAAAGGTCAGCACGGAGTCATTGAGGTCGTAGAACGGTGAAAATAAGTCTTCTTCGCATAATTCTACAAACAAGAGTCCAAGGCAACCTTCTCTCGGTATCCGATGAGGCTAATTTATGAATCTCTTCCACTCGGCTTCCCTGCTGTTCAAGAGGTGGCAAAATAAGTAATGTTAAATATGATGATTGTAGATGATCGAGGAAAATGAAGTAAAAACTGGTTTAAAAACTTTTCGGACATAAAATACTGATTAAAAGCCATAGATTGAATGAATAACAAGGGTTCGAAAGACATGCCCCGAAGTTGTTTTGTGAAAAATTTCTTATGGGAATAACAATGTTAAAAAAGTTTGAGTAAAATGAACTCAACAAATCTCTGCCGACCTGATCAAACGAAGCACGAATTTCAGTCTAATGAGGATAGGGTTAGGCCTTGCATAAAAAAGAAAAGAAATATACAACATGATAAAAGCAATGTTGACAAATTTTTCAAGCTATTTACGTTGGATGAAATGTGACTAAGGATTATATTTTTTCCATAAGGTATCCAATTGACCAACAATTCGATGAATGCATGACAGGCCAATAAGAAGTCTAGCATGTGTGAAGAAAAAATCGGTACTTTGATGGTAGTAGATAGCGTTAATTTAGCAAGAAAATTAATATTTACAGACAAGAATGGAATGGGGTAGAAATATCACTATGGACAAATAAAGTTTAGGCTCAATTGAAAGTTAAGGGAATTTTTCTGATATAAAAGGAATATATTGTCCGAATCAACCCTTACCTTTAGCTGATCGTTAGCAAAAAAAGTACTTCGTACATCACCTCAGTATATCAAAGCCCTGGTAACGGTGATGAAAATCAGTGCTAAAAGTACTTTAAAAACTTAGCAAATTATGCTTGTCCTGAAAGCAATGTTTTTTGTGAAATCCAACTAAAGCAACTACGGCAATAGCTGCAAAGGAATGAAGATAAAGATATGAGAAATTTTTACCAATCTCGAATCATTGACTTTTATACTTCCTTATGGATATCTGATTGGAGGGCTTATAAACAGCACGTAAACGTCAGAAAGTATCAAATCAAAACTCTCTTGGACGGAGGTGGAAAAAATCCTGATAGAGGTTAAGATAAATTAGATGGTGGACGGATTTGGCATGACTATAGGATAAGTCATGAGGCTTACAAGCAAATACAAACTAAGCGAGGTTCATGGGCCTGAGAGCTATATCGAGAGTAGATGAATTTGAAAGTTGCTAAATTGTACTAAAAGTATGGTAAGGCATCAAGAATTGGTAAATAGAAATAGAAAATATCTATTCTAAAGTGGGTCGTTTGAATCGTTGCAATAAGCTACCACTAGGCTAAACAGTCATAGATGCTAGATGTTGCAGGGCATATGTGATTTTCAAGGCAAGCCAAACCCCTCTAAAACAAATAAAGGAAATTGAGGTAGGGCAAACAAGTATTTGAGATGTATTCACCCAATTTCGTTCAAGGTGATGAAGGACTGGTAGAAGAATTTTCCTACAATAATATGAGTAGAACTGACGTTTTCATTGAATTTCACATAGCCTTACTTTCCCAGTCCTTCATCACCTTAAACAAAATTGATTGAACACATCTCATATAACTAATTTACTGGTAGTCTTGAGATAATACTTAAATTCAAAAAATAAAGTAACGTAATCTATTGTTATAGCAAATATACGTTTGCTTCATCGACGATCCCACCAAATAATATGATATGGCAAAAGGGCCTGTCCTTCCTTGAAATTCACATTTGCCTTGTGATCCAAAGGCACTAGTGGCAATGTGGTAGAGTGGTTAACGTATCAAGCTC